AGAGAGAGAGAGAGAGAGAAAGAATGGGGGAGGATAAAGAGGAAAGCAGAGGTAGATGTAGATGGGTAGCTGGGTGGGGAGGGGGCCCAGCCCACTGAGAGTGAGAGGAGGGGGGAGGAGCAGCAAAAACCTGGCTGGCTGTGGATTGTAATCTGGGTGGGCGGAGGTCTGGACCCTGGGAGAGACGTTCTGGTCGCTTTCCCTTCCTCAACATAATTCTTCCCTCCCTTTCTCTCTCTTCCCCTTCATACTTCTCCTCTCCTCCTCCTCTCTTCTATTCTCCCCTCTCTGTCCCTCCCGTCCATTCACCCTTCCCCAGGCCTCTGGCTGGTACCCAGCGGAGCCGAGTACACGTCGGGCTTCCACAGCTGCCTGCCCGGCATGAGCCAGGTCCTTGGACGTGGAGAGGAGGGCAGCAGCGGCCTGCGCTGCCCCCTGGTGCCACAGAGTGCGAATGGCAGCACCACGGACAGCGCCAGCCCCGGCCTGGAGGCGCCCATGCGGTGCGGCCCCTGTGTCCCAGCCGCCTGGGCTCCTGCTGTAGTGTCCAGCGGCCTGCGGTCCCAACCACCCCGGCTCCTCTTCCCCGGAGGTCTCCCCAACTCGCCCTCCAACGTCCCAGCGCCGCTGCCAGCGTCGCGCCGCCGCGCCGAGAGCCCAGGGTCGGGACTGCGCGTGTGGCGGCCCTGGTGAAGCCTGGGCGTGGCCTGGGACTCAAGGGGATCCCCATCTAGCTTGGGGACACAGAGACTATCTTGAGCATGCCCTTGGTGACTGCCAGGACCTCTCAATCGCCTGTTCTGGTCTTGGGGCGGGGTGGCCTCGCGAGCGCCGCGGAGGGAAATACACGGAGCCACGCGCGTACCGGGTAGTCCACTCCAGTCCCACCTGCTCGGGCCCGACCCGCTCGCTCATACTCCCACCCTCCTGTGGGGCTGGGCTGTGCCCCTTTCCCAGGGGCCCCTGGCAGACAGCCCGCCTCCACTCCCGCCCAGCGGCCCCTCAGTGGTGGGAAGGTAGCAGTTGGCAGCAGCACAGAGCAGACCCCTCGCAGCGAGGAGAATCGCTGCCCCGCCCCAGCCCATTCAACAGGCAGCGGGCGCCCAGTTCCCACAGGCACAAAGCGGGCCAGGCCCCGCCCCGCCCCGTCGAGGGGCCCCCTAGCCCACCCTCACCCAGGGCCCTCTCGGCTTCCACCGATCCCTACCCTCTCTGCCGGCGGCGCGCGCGCTCCGGGTTCGCGCAGTCTCCAACGCCCGCCCTTCTAGGAAGCCCCGCCTCTCTCAAGCCCCGCCTACTGGCTGCACAGAGTTCCGCCCGGACTCGCAGCCCCACGCAGGTTCCTTGAAGGACCCTTTCCTAGTTCGCACTGACTTGAGGGCTGAAAAAGTAAGCCGGACGCCTCTCACGAGAAGGACAGGCCTTCTCGGCAAAGACCCCTGGCCCACATGCCAGACCTGGGCCTCACTGAGCACGCGCCTCCGGACCTCTCTAGGACCCAAAACTTCCCTGGCCCTCGAGCGCTCTAGGCCTGTTTATTCGTCCATAAACGAAGAAGCAATGGCTGCGCTGGCCCGGGCCCACGAGGGGCAGCTTGGGCGTGAGGGATAAGGGTTCCCCGCACTTCTTCCCACCAACTTGTAACTCGAAATAAAGACGGTGTGAATCCGAAGGTGGGTTCTAACTTCTCCCACGATGCCTACCTTTTGAACCACAAATACCAACTTTTTATAGAAGCACTTCTTGCCCTGCCCGTGCCCGGTGCATTAAACACTTCCTGGTCCGATCTCAGGAAGAGCGAGACCCTCAGTGGCTCAGCAGCCTGGCTCCCCCACCTCACGCTGCGGGCGAGGGAGAGTGCGCCAGAGCGGCGGGGTCGGAGGGTGGCTGCTCGGGTCTCCGCTTCCTGCAGTTGTGAGATGGGGAGTGCCCAGGATGAGTCCTGCCGCCCAGCAGGTGGCGTCCTTGCGCCGTGTACCCTCGCAAATTCAGAAGGTGCACGCAGGAGGGATGAGGGACAGGGATGGGCAACCGGCCTGAGTCTCTCAAGCTGGGGCTTATTCTGTCCTACTCATTCTTGATCAAGTTTACAGTGACTGGCGGCCCCAGATACCATCCCTGTGGCAGAGATTGCAACCAGCACAGCTAGTTCTGCTCCAGGTCCTCACTGACTCTTAGGTGGGACCCCAGCATTTGCCGGGAGAAACAGTACATCCCACTCAAAGGAATTGGATTCCTAGCAGAGGAAATCAAGTTCCAGACGAAGGGAAATTTGGGCCCTGCTGTTAGGTTATAGATGAGTTTTCCAAGGAAGCAGCCTCAGAATGCCAGGTGAAGGCCCAGCCGGTGGCTCAGGCCTGTAGTCCTAGCAGGCTGAGGCAGGACACATGAGCACAGAAGTTTGAGGTTGCTGTGAGGTATGACGCATTGGCACACTACCCAATACAGTGAAACTCTGTCTCAAAAAAGAATGCCAGGTGAAAATCTTAAGGACGTTTTTATTGGGTCCTGTACAGAAGAAATGCTCAGTTGTCAAAAAACTACAAAGGGATCCTGGCTTCCAGGCTGGGTGGTGGTACCAAGACAGAGCTCCCTCCTGGTAAGCCTGGGGTCAAGCTCCTTAGTGCAGCAAACAGGCTGGGAGGCTGGACAAGGTTTGGGAGAGAGCTCAGGCCCCAGGTCCTTCACTTGGGGTTCTCCCCTTTATTTTTGTAGAAACTTCAGGAGTGAAGTGATTTCAGGGGAATTCAGCCCCTTCGAGTATTGCCATTGGATATGAAATATGCAGAGCAAAAATTCAAGGTGGCAAATGGGTGAAAACCCAAGCTGACAAGTGGACAAATGCCCCTAAAATGCAGGAGACAGTGGCTAGGTGGTGACCTCTGCCCCCGCATATCACATCGGTCCTTGAAGGCACAGCAGCATGGGCCAGAGGTGGCCCCTTGCCTGTCCATGTCTGGACTGCAGTCCCCTGCCTTGCTCAGTCCCCTGTGGCCAACTCATCCCCCAGTTACCCCACAGACAGGGACTGGTAGGGGTCTCTGAGGCAGAGACAGAGTTGGACAGCCTCCCCCCAGCAGCATCTCCTGGGGCTGGAACCATGTCCAGAGGGTGAGAAGGTGGGCTTGGCCACCTGAAGGGGCAGAGGGTACAAGCTGACTCTGTGCTGGCCTTGGACACTGCACCAGTCTTCACATTAAGGGGCCACTGCATAGAGACAAGGCCTGGAGGAAACAGCCTCTGCACTGGCCCCCATCCTACCAGCTCAAGACCGAGGGCCTGTGGCAAAGCCAAGGCCTGTATGGGGTCTGCCCAGGAGGGAAAGTTAAGAAAAAAAGCCCTCTCCCTGGGAGAAGAGGTCTCTTGCCAGGTGCCAGACCTGCACAGGTGGGGGAGGTGAGATTGGGGATGGGCATGAGGACAAGGAAGTCCAGGCCTCTCTGATTTAGTCCTCTCCACCCTATATCTACTACCTTCATGGATTGGGTCAGGGGTAGCTGATGTATTGGGGACAGGTAACAGCAATAGCAGAGTGATGAGGGTGGGAATGGAAACAGTGGTCAGGTGGCTGTGGTGTCAATGCAAAAGTGTTGTGCTTAGTGGGGTGGGTGTGAGCCCCCAAGGAGGCAAGGGGTACTGAGAGAGAGGCTTCAGGCCTGGGGTGCCATACCAGGCCACTTGCTGAAAAGTGACCCCCACAAAGGACCCACAGAGGGTCCTAGACTACTCTCACACCTGGTCCACTCAGTGGCCAGAGTACACAGACCAGGAGAATTCTTCAAACGGCCCTGAGAGTTAACATGGTCACCTGTTCATCACAGATGGGGAAACTGAGGCAGAACAGGTCGGAAACAGGGAGACCTGGTCAGAGAGCTTGTTTGGGCTCTGAAGACCCCTGTGCTTAGAGACCCTCTACACTCCATCCTGGGGTGTGACAGTTACAGTGTAGGGCGTGGCCCAGTGGCCGGCTGCTCCTGTTCTGCTCTGGCAAGGAGCAGCTTTGTTTTATCTGATGGGTGGCCCAGGCCCAGGGTTTCCCTAACTCTCAGCCCAGTTGCCTGGAGCTGGGGAGAGCCAGAGGAGCCAGAGGAGCACGCACTCTCACTACCCAAGCCCAGCCTCAGCCTGCCTCCAGGATGCCATGCCCAACAGTTGGTCGGTGCCCAGCACAATCGTGCAGGGCAGCAGTCGCCCCCAGGCAATGCCGGCAGGGAGCAGCAGGAGAACAAAGGCGCTGAAGCTGCCACCCACTCACCCCTGGAGGGGTGACACATGTCTGCGCGCGGGACAGAAGTGGCATCTTTGGTGCTGTGACCTGCAGGCCACTCGGCCTGCCCAGCGTCAGGAAGAGGTGCTGGTGGGTCTTAGGACGCCGAGCCCAGCGAGTCTGAGTGCAGTGTGACGTAGCCGGAGGACTCCGACGGCGAGCTGAGGAAGCTGCTGGTGCTGCCGTCGCCACCCACCGCGCGCAGGCCCCCGGGCTCGCCCCACGATGCACTCAAGCGTGTCCGCAGGGCTTCGGCGTGCGCATGCGCGGCCGGGCGCGGCCCGGGGCTCCTCTGAGGGCCGCCAGGGGGCGTCGGGGCCTCTCCCGGCTCCGCGCCGTCTGGGGCGCGAGCCGCAGCGGGCAAGGGCCCCGGCGGGCGCCGCAGAGCCTGCGGCTCGCGCTCGAAGGCGGTCAGGGCGAAGGCGTCCGGCAGCAGCGAGGCCGAGGCGGAGCGGGCGCCGGGCCCAGGGCGGCGACGCGAGCTGCTGGGACTGTCGGGGGGCGAGTCGTGGGCGCGGCGCGGGCCGCCGTCCAGGGTCTGGGGGCGCAGGGACAGCAGGCTCTCCGCCGATCGGCGTCGCGGACGGAAGGGGGGCGCGTCCTTGCCGAAGGCCAGCAGGCCGCTGCGGCCTGAGTCAGGCCCAGCAGGCAGCACCAGGCGCGCCAGGGCGGCCAGGTCCTCGCCGGAGCCCCAGCGCGGCAGGAAAGTGGGCAGCTGGACTGCGGCCCACACTTCTGCATCGTCGTGGGAGAAACGCCGCGTGGGTGGGACCTGCTAGGGCAGAGCAGGCTTTAATCTGGAGCTGCCCTCTCCCAACACAGGAGTTCCCGCCGAACCACATCTGGGCAGGGCCACTTGTGGGTCAGGAACTAGACTGTGGGCCAGGGCAGCCTGGTTTGGAGCTGTGAGATAGGGTGCTACTGACAATTTCTGGGAGTCTCAGTGTTGCCATCAGTAGCTCAGGCCGGTTGGATAAAAGGTACTGGGAAGGGTACTGAGCAAGGAGAAAATAACTCAGGCAACAGGGAGCATAGGGGCATCAGTTGGGGTTCCCTGCCTGGGCACAGGGTCTGTGACGTTGGGCCAGTCCCTAGAGGCACAGGGGACATGAGACGAGCTCCAAGATGAATGGCTTTGGGGGGGTCAGAATATCCTGCCAACCACATGCTGGGCCTCTGTCCTTACCTGCAGGTACTGCATCTTGTCCTCCTGCAAGGGCTGCAGTGGGCAGAGCTGGGGCAGGCCCCCCTCCAGGGCAGAGATCTCATACTTAGCCATCCTGTCCAGGGCCACAAAATCACCTCCATAGCTGTAGTCGAGGGAACGCTCCAACACCAGATCTTGGGGGATGCCACCTTCCAGGCTAGTCTCTGCAGAGTGAGGCAGAGGTTTAGGGCTGAGGGAACTTGGAGGCACTTAAGAGGGAATCCTAGGCCTCCTCCTCCCAGACATGCACAGGCAGTGGGCTGCTTAGCTGAAAAGGGAAGGAGCAGGGTTCTGGGTTCAAATTCTGATTCTGCCGCCATTTAGCTGTAAGCCAGGGAAGGGGGAGGTCACATACTGGGCCATTTCCTCATCTAGGATAAGGGGTGAGACCTGAGGTTTCTTTGGGAGCCTGGGAACAGGGTCCCAGGGGCTGGCAGTATAAGGGGCTGGCAGTGCCTGGCACCTAACAAAGGCTTAGTCTAGGGTGGGGAAGACTGGATCTGGATCTACAGGAGGCCCTGGGGCAGTTTACTGTGGACCCTTAAGGTTGGGGGGGTTAGCCCAGCGCACAGTGGGACACAGTTTGGTGTCCACAGATCCTCTCTGTTAACCAGAACATTAGATTAACTGGAACTTCAGAGCAGCCAAGCCAGATAAGAGAAAGTCCTCTGGGAATTTAGCTAGGGTCCCTTAGGCATTCAAGTACACTCTCTGATTGTTGAGAATGGAGTCACCGAAGGATCATGGGGCATCAGCTAACTGACCAGGACTTCACTGCAGATGCCACTTCTCCCGGGGGCCAGTTCTCAGGCCATTCTTACCGTCATCAGAGTCCTCATCGTTGGCCATGAGGGCCACACACTTCTCCCATACAGCCCTGAGGTCAGCCCGGTAGCGGTCACAGGCCCAGAGGAACACAGGCAGCAGCAGGGCCTGGGTCACGGAGCACCACAGCACACAGAGCACCATCCAGGGTGCCGAGGCGTCTGCCCGCAGGCTGCTGAAGCTCACCACCTGTGGGCACAGCACTCAGCCTGGCACCCAGTAGGACCCCCAAGCCTCAGTTATCCCATCTTTATGGCACATCGATAATCCACCTCCCAGAAGAGGTAAGAGCTAGAATGTAATGTAGAAGGCCCTGTCCTGGGTGGCGCCTGTGGCTCAAGGAGTAGGGCGCCAGCCCCATATACCAGAGGTGACGGGTTCAAACCTAGCCCCAGCCAAAAACTGCCAAAAAAAAAAAATAATAATAGAAGGCCCTGTCTTGTGAAGGTCACCTGGCCAAGATGAACAATCATATCCTCAGTGTGTGCACAGTACTTCACAGTGTACCAAGCAGTAGTGGTACAGTCTGGTCTCACTCTGTTGTCCAGGCTGGAGTGTAGTAGTATCATAGCTCAATGCAACTCAAACTCCTGGGCTTAAGAGACCCTCATGCCTCAGCCTCTAGGGCAGCTGGAATTACAGGTATGTGCCACCACACCTGGCTAAGTTTTTAAATTTTTTGTGGTAGAGATGGGGGTCTTGATATGTTGCCTGGGCTGGTCTCAAACTCCTAGCCTTAAGCAATCCTCCTGTTTCAGCCTCCCAAAGTGCTGGTATTACAGGCATAAGCCACTGCATCTGATGCCTCCTTCTTGAGATGAAGAATTTGAGGCGTGGAGAACCAGATCTCAAGTCTATTCAGGGACCTTTCTGCCACTCCTCACCTCCAGCCAGTGGTCTCCGTGGCCCGGCCCCTACTCCAAAGGTCTAGCGGTCAGACCCCAAAGGAGATTCAAGGGACACATTCTAGCCAGGCACCCCGTCATTCCTCCCATCCCAGGAGACCCCTCATTGCTCCACTCCCCCACCTGGTAATCTGAGTGACATTTAATGATTCCCACAGCAGAGCAGAAGACATCATGGGTCTGCCATTTGTGAGCTGGGTGGCCCTCAGAAAGCTACTAAACCTTCTTGGGACTTGGTTTCTTCATCTGCCAAATGGCTGAAGAACACTCTACCCTACAGAGGGGGAGGTAAGGGCTCCAGAATGTAACAAGCCAAAGGTGTGGAAGGCTCTGAAACAGCACAGAGAAGGGGGTGCCCTTCTCCTCCTCCACTGCTGCCCCCACAGTGCTGTTTGGTTCTCAGCAGTTTCACAAGGCCCCTTCCCTTATTGGACCAGGGACACCAGGCCCCACTGTACACATGAGGATCTTGTGTCCAGGGGCAGGGTGTGCTGGGCCTGCTAGGTTGGGGGTGGGCAGCAGGTCAGCAGGGGGCACACATCCTGAGCATATCACCTGCCTCTGAAGCTGCCACCCTCTTCTTACCTTTCTGGAGCTTCTGTCTTGTGTTGAGTCCAGGGATACAGCCCTGCCCGGCAGCTCAGATGAAGCCTCTCTGGCTGGTCCTTCCTCCTAGCCCCATTCTGTCTCACTCTACAGACAGGACATCGGGGACTAGGCTACTGAGTCCAAACTTCCCGTCCCTGCCTCACTGAAGGAACTACAGGCAGCCCCATGGCACCTTGTCATCAAGGCTGTTCTCAGATCAGCCATCATCTTGACCTTCCCTAGCACTTAGGATCACGTGCAACTTCCCTAAAGACACTCAAGACCTGGGCAGTGCCTGTGGCTCAAAGGAGTAGGGCGCTGGCCCCATATGCCTCAGAGGTAGTGGGTTCAAACCTAGCCCCAGCCAAAAACCGCAAAAAAAAAAAAGACTCAAGGCCTGCCCTGGCCTTGCTCTATCTCCCACTCCACTGGCCCTACCTACCTGCACCACCAAAGCTCCCTCTGTTCATTCTGGGATCTGAGCTCACCAGGAAGCCAATGGGGATCTTACCCCACCTCTACATCAGATAGGCCTCAGGTGAGGGGAAGAAACTCCTGTGTAGTGCCACAGAAAGACCCCTGACATGCATTCAAGCCCCACCACGCCACCCTGACTTTAGGCAGGTTGTTATACCTCTCTGAATCTTGGTTTCCAGACCTGTAAATAGGGAGGATGATCTCATCTTAAAGGACTGGGTTTGAGGATTCAACCACCTACTGCCTGGAGCGTGTCCAGCCCCAGGGTTATCCCAGAGCCCAGACTCTTCTACCTGACACTCTCACCCACCAGCACAGGGAAGCCCATGAGGCAGTCGTAGATGACGACTATAGTGGCCACGAGGCCCGTGATCTGCAGCGAGGTTTTGGCGGGCTCCGAGCCGTCAATGGAGGAGCGTCGCTTGCCCTGTGCGTCCTCCACTACGATGGTGGGCACGGTGAAGGCACGGCGGTCAGCCCGGCGCCCCACTTGTGTGGCCAGTGTCTGGAAGAGGGTGATGGCAGTGCAGACCACACCCATGGCCACACTGCCACCCACCAGCAGCAGGAAGCAGACGCCAAAGCCCAGGCCAATCTCAGCCACAATGAAGCGGCAGCCGTGGGTGTAGAAGCGCTCACTCGTGTCATGCCAGCCGACAGCAGGCAGGGCCGATAGGATGAAGGACACCATCCAGATACCCATGACCGTGTGCACAGCCTGCTTCTTGGCGTTGCTCAGCCTGGCACAGGGCGGACGAACAGAGGAACCCCATGTCACTCACAGGCCTCCCCAAGCCTCTAGAGACCCCCCTGCACCCCTCTCCCCAGCACATTACAGTCATGGCACAACCATCGCTGCAGGATCTTGTCCCTCACATAGGAGATACTTGTGCACATTGTCACACATCCTCTCCAAGCCCTTTTGCACTGGACACTTGAGTACACCCAGGCACACCTACACATGCACCTCCAGCAGCCCCTTGGGAGTCCCTGTCGTCCCCAGTGCACACCCCAGGGTCTGTCTTCATGCTCACTCCTGCTCTCTAGGAACCCCAGACATCTGAGCACTCACCGGTAGTTGACGGGCCAGCGGACCATCCACATGCGGTGGTAGGAGAGTGAGGTGACAGAGAAGCAGGTGGCCAGGGTGAGGGTGTAGAAGGTGGACACAAAGACCTTGCAGAGGCCCTCGTTCCACTCATAGTCAGGGCGCTGCCGCCGCAGTTGCACCACGGCATATGTGGCGATGGGCACCGCCACGTTGAGCATGTGGGTGGCTGCGAGCATGCACAGCAGGAACTCCAGAGGCTTCCACTTCTTCTGCTTGGCACCAATGCTGAGGATGCCCCAGGCGTTTGCCAGGAGGGAGAGGCCCCCACACGCCAGCCAGCCCACCGCACTGCCAGGCAGCCGCCGCTCATCACTCATGGTGCAGATGGGAACAGGCGGGCGGCTGAGGCATCCTCCTTGGGGCGTGGAGCAGCAGCCCTCACTCTTGGTGGCTCGGAGACATTGGGGACCTCGAGCATCTGTGGGGGTTGGGGAATGAGTGTTCAGTGACTGCCCCTCTGGCTACAGCATTGGAGCTCTTGGGACCCTGGGGTAGGAGACAGGAGTGCTATGGTTTGAATGTCCCCTTTAAAACCCAGGTTGACACTTAATTTGCATTGTAATAGTATTAAGAGTTGGAACCTTTAAGGGGTGATTAGGCCTTGAAGGCACCTCCCTCTGGGGGTGGATTTAATGCCTTTGGAAAAGGGCTTTGAGGAGTGGGTTCTCTCAGTGCTTCTATTCTTCTGCCATGTGCGGAAGAGTGTTCCTCCCCTCTGGAGATGCAGGGGTCAAGGCACCATCTTGAAACAGAGACCAGGTCCTGTTGGCACCTTGATCTTGGACCTCCCTGCCTCCAGAAGGAGGAGAAATAAATTTCTTTTTTTTTTTTTTTT